GAAGAGCGGCCGAGCTCGCTGCCGCTTGGCCCCCTTTTCTCTGAGCAGGGCCCTGAAGCGTTGACTCCTAAACGTATCCTCCTAGGTTGTGAAGGTTTGCTGGAGCTGCAGATACAGTTGGCTGAAGGATAGGCCGCTTTCTGAGGAGTTTGCTGGGAACATTGACAGTGGGGATATTCAGGGTGTTTCAGATAAAAGCATCTTATTGGTGATCAGTGCCATATATTGCCAAGAGTCCCCTTGCTCAAGATGGCAATGATTTTGATAGGTGAGCATTTTGTTGGTAACCTGCAAACTGGAAACCCTTTCTTGTCTTGCCTAAAGATTTTTGCGATTTTCCTGGTAACGCAACTGAATCGTGCGGATGCGTTGGACTGTGGGCTAGGAGAATATCCCATAGGTGCTGAGTGCTGCCCGATGTGTGCTGCTGGTATGTAAATGTGGGGTCTTTGTTTAAAGTTGTGTCCTGTGACTTTAAACCCTTCATTCACCATGTCTGCTTCTCAGAAGGGTGCCCTAATCCCTGCTGTGGGTCATGGGGTTGATCTGCTTTCTTTACTGTAGCTGTCTATGCCCGTGGCCCCCTGACGATAGTCTTGCAACTCACAGCTGTGAGCATCATTCCAGCATGTCCTCTTCAAGTTTGCCTTCAAGCTACTCTTGAAATAGCACTTTCATTTTGGGTTTTAGATTTTGTTTTAGGATTATTCTTGCAACTGCTACTGCTATTAGGATACTTTGGAGGTCCTTGTATTTTATCTATAGTAGCTATGTGTGGTTTATGCTGATGTCACTCCCTGGCCACGTAAACTTTGCTAACAGAGTCACTTTTGTTAGTTGTTTTGTTTTTTAGGACTTCGGGTTTTCAAGCATTGCACTGCAAATTCCAGCACAACGTGCATGCCTTGTGTTGAGGATACATACACAGACCATCCCAATGGTCTAGAACGCTGCAAGAAATGTAAATTGTGTGATAAAGGTAAGGAGGATAGTAAAGGACCAGTTGAGTTTGAATGGGCTTTTCATGCCTTTCTTGGGTATGTTCTCCCCTTCCCCTTTCTCCCCCCATTCTCTGGATGATATGGTTGAAGCATGAAGAGTAGAGAGGCTCCTGTCACTGTGCAGACTTCAGAAAATTATTGATCTGGGGACTGAAGACAAAACTGGCATAGATCTCAAGCTGGCACCACTGGAAGTATGGTCTGTAGCCTATAACATTTGAAGGTTGCTTTAGATTGCAGCATGGTGTCTAACGAGCTGTCTTGGAATATTGGGATAAGGCAGGCTCCTCCCTCCCGGGCAGGTAATTTGAAAACCTCTGAGTTGGGGGTACTTTGCTTATGGATTTTAAGTCGGTTAGCACAGATGTAAATGTGACACAAGATGCTGTGTCTGTGTGGGTGTGAGGAACAGCGCTCCTTTTATACATTTAAAAAAAAGGAGTCACCATCACTAATCCTGTTAGTTCTGGTCCTTTCCAGTATATCAAGGTGAGACTGAATGTACGCTTTTGTTCTTGTATCTGTTGAATTTACCTGTGTTAATAATGTGGTTGTACATGTGAATTTCTTCTAGGAGCCAACCTGGTGCCAGAAGTAGTATGTACCTCTACGAAGAATACAGTGTGTGGCTGTCCCCTGGGATATTTCTGCAGTTATTTGGGGACTGAAGACTGTGAATTTTGCCAACGCTACACTGTCTGCTTTCCTGGCACTGTGGTGAAAGAAAGGGGTAAGCCAACACAGCATCGCTAACAACCAAAAGCAAAACCTTCCTCTTGCAGAATGTATTTGGAGCTTGACTGGGAGGAAGCTGGCTGTCAGTTCATCCAGAAAAAAATACCGAAGAATCAATGAGAGTGTCTTTCAGAGGATCAGTGCACAGCTGAAAGCTTGCAGCATCCATGGAGGTCCTAGATGCTGAGGTAGCTGATGTGGCCAAGACTTTTTTTTCCCCCTGTATGCAAAGACAGAAGTGTGTGAGCTTTTGTCTATAGTGAAGAGTCTGCAGTAATCACTTGGTCATTTACAAAGACCATGCTGAACTGAAGCTCCTTTTGGTCACGGGTGCAGGTGGAAATCCTGTTGTCTTCTCCTCTTCTCCCTCATAGGCACAAAGACCACTGACAATGTATGTGAAGCTTGTCCTCCTGGAACCTTCTCAGCAGCCAACATGTCAAATAGCTGTACACCATGGCCTAGGTAAGCAACTCTCACTCTTCGTCAGCATGGGACTGTTCTCATTAACTGTTGGGTCTGCATTTTGCTTTCTTTGAAACAGCAGTTTCCTGCTTCAATAAGGCCTTGAGTCTGTCCCCGGCCACGCTTTCTGGGGAACAGCTTAACTTCTCTCTTACTTATAAATCCACTAACATGACAGATTTAGCCTTCAGCCCCCTGTCCCAACTTATTACTGCACAGGGGAATCTCAGAGCTCCTGCAGAGTTGGATTTGGATGCAGGAGGAGCAGTGCACTCCTCCAGGTATCTGGGTTTCAGTAGACATGTTCCTTAATTATAGTGGAACACATTACAGTTTGCTTCTGAGGAGAACCAAATTGCATTTGCATATAATAAAGAGTAAAAGTCAGTTCCTTCTTTAATTAGCTATCAAGTCGGAGAGACCTTTGTGAATGCCCCTGGATAGGGATGTGTGATGAAAACAGTGCAACGTTTGCTGACGTGTTTCAATGTGAATGTTTCTCTCTTCACATCAGGCTTAAGGAGAATGGCCTGGTACAAGAAGAGGAGGGGACTCCTTCAGATGCAGTTTGTGCAAATTGCTTGCCTGTTACAGCTATTGTTGGTGCTGTTCTTGGAGTTGTGCTGGTTGCTGTTGCAACTGGTCTTATATATATCTGGCAAAGGAGGAAGAGGAAAAATTATGTGCTATGTAAGTAAGAACAGCATATGTCTGAAGGGGTAGTTTTGCAATAGTTAGTATTCTGAAGAATAGTGTTTGTTTCAACCAGAAGATGTTGAGCTATAATCTTAACAGTCAATTAGAGATGATCTGTAAGGAAATTGTATCATTTCTTTGTGCCACAGTTAACTGGTTGTATTGATGCCTCCCTTAGAGGCTGTGCCC